TCTCTCTCTCTTTTTTTTTTTTTTTTTCCCAATTTCCCCCCCCCCCTTTCTTTCCTCCGTCCCACTGAAGTTCTCGCTTCTTCTCTCGTCCAGGAGGGTCCGATTCCAGCCAAATTCAAAACGGGAAAAGGATGAGGACAGCTTTCACCAGCACCCAGCTCTTGGAGCTGGAGAGGGAATTCTCGTCCAACATGTACCTGTCCCGGCTGCGGAGGATCGAGATAGCCACTTACCTGAACCTCTCTGAAAAGCAGGTGAAAATCTGGTTCCAAAACAGGAGGGTGAAGCACAAGAAAGAAGGCAAAGGCGCCCAGCGAAACTCGCACGGGGGCTGCAAGTGCAGCACCAGCCAGGGGCATTACCCCAGGTCAGAGGACGAAGAGTCTCTATCCCCCTCATCGGCTACCGAGGATAAAGAGATCTCCCCGTTATGAGTCCGACCCGCAGCACCGGGGCCCGGTCCGGAGCGGGGCGGCGGCGCGGCGGCTCACCTGGCACCGCTGCTCCGGGGGACAGCAGCTCGCCCACCGGGAACGGGCTGGCCCTCGCCGGCCTGGAGGTTCATTCTCATGCCTTCGCTGTAATAGAGAGAGAGAGAGAGAAATATATTTTTTGGAATGTACATATTTTAGTCGTGAGAGTTCAGCTAAAACGTTATTTATGTAAGCCCAGGAGCGGGCACCTGCTCTGCCTAACGTGTAACACGGGACTGGACTCGCACGGCCCTGGGTGCCTCCCCCCGCCTCCCCCTCCAGGCAGTTTAAAGGAAAAAAAAAAAAAAAAACAAAACCAACAACAAAAAAAACCCCAACAATGTATTTGGAACCGAAAGACGGGGCATTAAAAAACTGAAAAGCAAACAAAAACCTGTAGGGCTGCGAACCTCCTGGACGGACTTCTTAACAAGAATAAGGAAAGCAAGCAACGAAGATCGGTCGCTTGGGTTTGGGACGGCGGTTTGTTTGTGAATAGTTTTATATAAAATTTATATTTATATTTATTTAAATAAATGAGATCACACAGCAATTTCATTTTTTTCTTCTCCTCCTCCCCGCCTTCCCCCTGTCCTCCCCCCAAGTGCCAGCCCAGTCCAAGCAGCGAAGGTGGGACTGGCTGGGGCAGGGGGCGTTTCTTCGGAATCCTTTGTACGGTGAAAACATTGGTGTATATGTGTCCGACCTCCGTAAAGACTAGAAATAAATGCCATCGGCTACTAACCCGAAGATGTTTTCTGTTCCCCTGCGCCTCGGGCCGGCTGGGGGGCGGAGGAGGGTGAGGGGGGACCCCGCTCCGGCCGAGCGGAATGCAAATGAAGCCGCTTTTCTAAGCCGAGCAGCTTTGTGTTATTTTCCAGCCCTCGCCGCGGCTGACAGCTTTCTCCCGTCTGCTTGCCCGGTGGCAACCGCGCCGGGGACACCCGGCTGCTGCCGGCCCCGGGCCGCCGCTCCCGGGGCCAAATCCTGTCTCTGCTTTGGGAGGTCCGTCCTGAGCTCCTGGCAAGGGGCTGATGCGGAATGGGACGGAGCTGGAGTCGGTCAGTCCCAAAAGAGCCTCTTTATAACTTTTTTTTCCTGGTTCCTGCAGTCCTGGCAGACGGCATATGACCAGATCAGAAGTGGCTCTCGCACACTGTGTTACTCCCCACTCACACCTTTTTCTTGGGTGGGTTTCCCACCAACCCCACCTACATTTTTTACTTCAGCCTCTGAAACTATTGCAAAACTTTTTAGGTAAATAATTCCCTACATTTCTCGTGTTTGATCCCTAACCTCGGAGCTTTGGCTCAGAGGGATGTCTCTGATTTCACTTGCCTGCTTTGCTTCTAATCAGAAAAGAAGTAATAAGCCCGCGGGGTGTTCTGCTGCCATGTGAATAACCCAAGCACCCTGCCTGCTGGAGGGAGATGCAGCCCCAGCGCGGTGACTCCCTCACTGCCTGCTCGTCTTGGAGGAGACATCAGGTGCACGGGCAGGTTTGGGATGGGATGGAGGGGGCCTGGTGTGGGCACAGCCCCACAGCCTGGACCAGTTGCAGGTCTTGGGGTGCAGGCAGTGCCCAGCACACCTGCAGCGTGGCAGGAGGGAAAAGGAACTGGACTTGGAAAACAAACAAGATCTCACTCTTCCATTTCATAGCCATCTCACTGCCTCGGGTGTGGGCCCGTACAGAGGACAGCAGCCCGCATCCCAGCTGAGCGGCTCGGGATGTTGTTTACCCAAGTGGCAGTCAGTCCCCTCACTCGCCAGGGTGGGGAGACCAGAGGGCCAAAGGCTCGTGGGCATTGTGACTTCTTCCCAGGGAGAGCCTGGCCAGGGTGGCTGCCTCCTCTTGCCCTAGAATTTGCCATGGTGGGGTCTGGCAACCTGTTGTTCCTCTGCTCCAGTTCACCTGTGTCTAGCTTGCTCCTATAATCCCACTGGCTCTTTTCCAACCCAGAAGCTCTAAGAGGAGGTGTTACCACCACAGAGAAGGTCCTGCCCACCCTCTTAGCAGTGTCACCCCCTTACAGGAGGGAGGCAACAGGCCTGTAGCAGCCTGGGAAGGCGAAGCTCTGCTGGGGAAGAAAAAGCATCATGACCTTTCAAACCTAATCTAGGTGAAACTGCAGAACTCAAAGATATTTTAGATCTGCAAAGATATTTTTTGATAGAGTGTATCTTTTCTCAGTGTAACTCTGGGGAAATACACAGCTTGGTGAATAAATGGGTATTTTCTTCTGCTTCTAGAATTCACCTCCTCCAGAGATACAAGAGAAGGGATCTCTTCATTGCAGTATTTAACAATTTATTTAAAATAAAAGGAAAATGAAATTAGTTGCTATTTCCTAGGTAAATTTAGTTCATTCACCTTGTGCCCTGACATTATAATGTGTTGGGGTTTTTTCTTCTCCTTTTTTTTTTCTTCTTTCCATTATTTTTTTTTCTCCCATAAAGTGCACAGAGTGCAAAGTGCAGGTTTTCCCCCCACTGATTCAGTGCCCAAGACAGGCAGTGTTCAGCTCCCTACTTAATATTCCTCTTATCATTGGTTTTCTAAGGAAAGAAGGATTATGCGGTCGCTCTGTTTATCTGTCTGCCACTTACCCTCATTCCCTCATAACTCTTAAACCACAGTGATCGATGCCAACCCGCTGGCTGACATGATTGTTCTGCAAAGGTCTCCAAGATGTCAAGTCTCTACGAGTTCTGCAGAACTCAGCAGCGGGCTAGGGCTGGAGGGGGACGGGACGCAGACCCCGGAGAGACCTCAGCTGCCACCATCCAGTCTGGCAGGAATCAGGTACCTGGTAACTGGGGGGGCAGCGGGATGTCTTTTACCTGGCAGCCTGCTGGAGGAGGATGTCTACAGGGGGAACAGGATGGTATCGCGGAGGCAGACCGTGAGGTAGAGGGTATGTATGGTCAGCAACACAGCTGGGAACAGAAACTATAGAGGAGGCGGAAGGGCCTGGGGGACATGGGACAGCACCCAAGAAAACAGCTTTTTCCTTTTACCACCCAGTGTGAGCCCAAGCCTTATTTGTTGTAAGCGCAGTGAATAAGAAACAAATGCTACCCTCTTATTTTTTGTTTGGTACTTGTCACGACGATGTTGGAGAGTGCTGGAAACATGACCACGTTTATCTCTATCGCTCCCGTGGGAGCAATAAATTCGCTTCTCTTTAGAGGTCGACAACGGAGCCTCGGAGGGGTTCAGACAGCCTCTGCGGCACTGCCCTCGCAATCGCGAGGCTCCGTGCAACTTCCCAGCCTTATTCCCGGTTTTAGCACCGGATATATCCCGGGCTCCGTCCCGACACACTCCAGCTGCAGTTACTGCACTTATTGGCGCGTTATCCACCAGATGTGCCACTCTCCGGACCGTCAGGAGAAGAGGAGCATGAGGCGGGGAGCTGCGACGGCTGCTACTGGAGCC